TTCGCTCTCGTTCGTCTCGCTCAATCTTTTCGGCCGCTAGTCGCTCCTCTCTCTCCGCGCGACGACGTCTCTCTTCGGCCTCTGTTCTTCTTTCACCCTCCTTTTGTAGGAGCATCATGAGGTTTAACATCTCTCCATTCGAGCCTTCCTTTTCAAGCGCACCCATTTCACGCTTGAGTGCATCGAGACGTGTCTTTGCTCGAACGCGCTTGGACTTGGTGTGTGATAGGGAGTTTTCAGAAGAGTTGTCTCCAGTAGTAGATCGTTTACCAAGTTCACTCGATCCGGGCGTAGTTGGTGGGGTATCGGGAATCTCTCGTAAGTCTTGACCACCAAGGCGGTTGCTAGCAAAAGCAAGTCTTGAACTTGCATTAGCTCCACGCTCGTCTCTTTGCAATGAAGTTCCGTCCGGAGAAGCCACCGTACCGGTGGACGCGCGATTTTTACCACGATTTCGGCTTATTGAAGACCGGGGTGTTGGAGTGACTACAGATGATCGTCCGCTGGTTTCTTGGTCGATAGGAGCGTCTGCTTGGTACACGTCGCGAAGTGGGGGTTGCGTCGAAGGTGTCAGACGTTCTTCTTGGCGTGGCGAGGAATCGGCAGGCACAGCGGGTTTGCTTTCTTCATCATCCGAGCGGAAGGTCGTAACATTGTAGTCACTGGCAAAGGCTGCGTTGATCGGGCCATATTTTGTAATTATCGTGGCTTCTACGTGGGGAGATGGCGAAGTATTTGGGGATCGCTGGGCGTACTGACTGATGTCGTCCTCGTTGCTGCGTGCAGTACTCAGCTGCTGACTAAAGGAGACGAAAGTTGTTGCATCCTCTTTAGACTCCCCGAGGTTTGTCACGTCGCTGTCGTCGGAATCCGAAGCCTCTCCTGCGTTTGACGCGGTGGCACGTTCATCTTGTACAGCCTCGCTTCTCTCAGCCGTTACTTCATCCGTCAAGGTACTTGTACGAATGACTGAGTCTGTCATAGCTCTATCCACGATCCGAACGAGCTCTGCGTCTTCGTCGCCGTTGTCTAAACCGTCATGACTCATATGACTCCCGCCGTCAGCCTCAATCTTCTCCTGTATCTCTTTCGCGTAAGCGATGACTTTTAGCCTCGGTGGAAGCATTCCATTCCTCCCAGTTGGCTTAGGTTTGCTGTACAGGCTCTTAAATTTCCTTCTCAAGGATTCCCAGTCTCGGTCTTGTGACGATTTGGGTCTATTTGTGTTGTATCGAGTTCCCACACGCTCCCACATCGCTCGCCCCAGCGGTAACACCTCCTCTACAACAGAGCACAAGAGCATCTGCTCTTGGACGGTGTAGTTGTTGTATCCTGCGCGTCTGCCCCTCTACAGACACGCTTGTGTTAAAATACAAACCAACACGTAAGATAGAAAACCCAAAGCTCTTACCGCCGCCATGATTGCTTCGAGACAATATCCAAAATATAGAAGCCTTATCTGCACGAAGATCCGTCAACTTAAAAATAACCTCAACTTGAATGAGGGCAACTATATGACCTTGACTATACAGTGTGAAAAATCTCGCAATTTTCGAATAGAACCGTCTAAGATACCTTCATGTAGCCATTTACTTCGAGCAGTATCTCTGTGCCCGTATTCTGGTTGCAGTATCTCGACCAATAACAAGCAACGTGTGCTCAAGTAATGCGTTCCCGCATGTGCCTCAAAAGGCACAATTCAATTCCGTACAAAGCGACTTTCCTGAGCGTTGAGGCAGCTCAATGCGTCGCATCGCGTCTCACATCCACAACCGGCTCCGCCATTAATTCCGATAGGAACGTACGAGAACTTCCAACTGCGTGGATTGTACTGCTGCGTGAGTCTTTTCACATTCGCGGGCCATTCTTCCTGAATCCAAGCAGGAGTCTCCTGTAGATGTTTCGGGGAACAGCCAGAAGCTTCGGAAGCCCTAGGTTTTGACTGTTTGCACCCGTCGGCAATTAGACCCAATGCCTCGGAGTCGTACCCGTCAGTGTCGTACGCGTAGGCAAACCATGGCGGCACATCAATTTCATCAAAGCGCTTGTCGACAACGGGGATTCTACCTCGGATAATCGAGGAGCTTGCGTTGGGTTGGAGTCCCTGGAGTTTGAGGCGGCAGATTGGTAGTCACCGTAGTCTGAGGCGACATATCGGCAGTCACTGTTTTCGGCAGTCGCAGTTGATTGAGTCGACAAATTGGCAGTTCCAGTAGATCTAGGCGTTAGATCGGCATTCCCAGGAGATTGAGTCGCCAGATTGGTAGTCACGGTAGTCTGAGGCGACATATAGCAGTCACTGTTGTCTGAGGCGACACCACAGCGAATGGAGATCTTGGGGACGAAATGGTCTTGGGGGACCAAACGTCAATAATCGACGGCGAAGAAGCGGCCGAAGTACTGCGAGCAGGCGGAGGGGTACTCGGTAGGTCCGACTTCTGGAGCAGAAAAGAGCTGGAGAGCTCAAAGCTCGAGAGAGACTCGACTTGTATCGTAGCGGCTTCTATGATCAAGGGGTGTTTCACCAATACACCAGAGCGTAAAACTGGAAACGAGGTAGCTTCAGCTGCCACGAGAAGACTGCACCCGAACCTCGTCAGCGTCCTCGCCCAATACGCGATCAGTACGAGCGATCCGTGTAGCAGAAGACGGTAGTGAGTCGGAATCCAATGCTGGAACGGCGGATCAAAAAGTCGAATGTCGTCGCGTGTACATTGCGGAAGCCAAACACTGGGAGAGCCACACAATCGTGCCGACGCACAAAGATGGCACAGCCGATCATCCCATAATATTCCAGAAGAACTGTATCAACTGCGGATCAACGACGCACGACAACCTAGGTTGCTGAAATCGGCTGACGTGCGAAAAGTGCGGCAGGAAGGGGCATCCATCCGATCATTTTCTTTTCGTATGCTGCGCATGCGGAGAGATGCATGAACCCGGAAAGTGCCAGATAGAGGAGTTCTATAACTTGGTCCGTCAATGGTACATCCCGAACAAGCATGCGGAAATGTTGCCAGCTAATGCCGAAAAGATGCAAAATTAGAACGCTCGCCAGATTGGTGTCTGGTACGAGCCGAGCGTTCTGAGATCTGCATTTATGCATACGGCAAGAAGCGGAAGCCATGGAAGATTAGTATGCTGACCGACAAATACATGTGAATTGGACGAGAAGCGTACCTTTACAGTCGCAAGCTTGCGAGAGGATGGTTATTCTCGGACAGATGTGAACGTGGAGCTGGACCTACTACCAGGAGAATCGCGAGGATACTGGAAGTACCACGCTTCAGGTAAATGGTTAAAGCAAGCCCAGTCAACCGCCAATATCAACAACGAAAAGGCCAGGCACCTTTTCGACTCTGGAGCTGAAGTATCCATTGTGGATTCTACCTTTGCTCGTAAGGTCAGATGCGCTATAGACGACAGCCAAAAACAAGAGTGTGTTGGTATTGAAAAAAAACGCGTATATATGGCAGAAGGACGTACCCAGATCAAGATCAAGCCCGTGGAAGCGTACATGTACTACTATGAAGCCTGTCAGGCCAAGAGGCGATATTGGGGATGGATTTCACGCTACCGGGAGGAATCCGTCTTGACATGGCTGGCGGGTCGCTGTGCCTCCTGGTTGAAGTAAGGGTCCAGCTGAACGGGCGTCGTCAGCTCTTTTGCGGGAACTCAAGGTTGATCACCTTCGATCAACACTGCAAACTTCCGGTTGTAGGATCGGTGGAGATCGCGATCCGTAGCCCTTCGTCTGACAAACGGAAACTGTGGGTTCCCCGTGGAGAACAGTGGAACCGACCGCGATCAAGAGAATAGGCCGTACACAGTACCTGCGTATAACAAGTGTGTCAGAACGACCAGTGGCGTTAAAACGCGATAGTCGAGTTGGTATCTGGTTCGCAGGAGACCCCATACTGCGAATATCAGGTTTTGTCTCAACCGAGTCACGGAGATATGCCGAGTGGCAAAACTTGGCATTACAAGCTACCACGGAACAGCACGCTGTGGACGAGTTGGTCGGAACTGCGACGGAACCAAAGGTAGACAGGCCCCAATACGAGGCGATACGTGCCGCCGACCAAGATCATATCGGGTAGACAAGACCACCGGAAGGTGATGATCGTTCTGTCGGCGCCTGCGAAGGAGTCAAACACCGCAGAAGCGACCTCGGGCGAAGAAACGGCCGGGATTCAATCGGAGGAAGAGAGTCATATCAATACGACTGAACCGAAGGGAGAAACCGGGAGCGATCGAGAGCAGCCGCGAGCAACGGAACAGAGAGGGACGCAAGCTGAAGCAGAAGAAGAAGTTGACGACGACATGGATAATGATGTCTGTAATCACAAAAAAGGAGATAGCTTCTCTGAGGACATCGAGAATAACATGGCCGGCTTGCCAGAAGTAGAAGCTACCACGAAGGAAGTCACCATCGACGATATACGAGTAGGCTATCGGCTGCGACCCCGGAGGAAAGTGTGGGATTGCGTCGCATTATCCGAAAGCGACGCCACTTGCTGATAGGAGCCGGTAACGTTCTACCACCAGCCGCATATGGAGCTATTTGCAACATTGATGTCGGAAGAGCTAAACCGGTAGCATAGCGCTGCCGACGGGTAGTACCGCAATTCTGCGAGAAGCTGTTGATGCTCCTAAGGGGACTGCGGTCGGCAAAGATCATCACCCACTCCGGCTCACCCTGGGCGTCACCCCGTCGTAGTCATCATCGAGGCTAACGGGGTCGACATATACCTCTGCATCGAATACCAGGTGGTGAACAGCCTGATGAGACTGATGAGGTAACCCATGCCGTTGACCAACGACCTCTTCGAAGATTTGGATAAGGCGCTGTGGTATTGCTCCATTGATATGGCCTGGGTACCCCGCGAGCAAAGCTGGACTCGGCGATCATCATGTTCGAGTGGACGAAGATGCCGTTCAGGTTGAAGAACGCCCCTCCGATCTATCAACGGATTGTCGACAATGCATTATAAGGTCACATGCGCATCAAGCCCGATCAGGATAGATTGAACCCCGCTGACGTCTTCAAGGAAGGAGAGCCAGAGCCGAAGCCGAAGCCATCGGTCCCCGGGCGGAGGTTGTACGTGGACGACATCCTTGTGACCGGTGACACGTGGAATAGCATGTGCAACCATGTCGACAAGCTGGTCGACGGCCGTGATCAGTGGAACTTGTCGATCAGCGTGGCTAAGAGCTACTGGGGTCGACACAAGGTAGCATACCTGGGACCCGAAGTATCCTCAGCCTGTCTGGAAGCAAAACCGATGGAACTCGACGCAATAGTCAATCGTCTGTTCCCGCCGGTACTTGTTTATTCCCGCATGGGTTTTCCCTTGGTGTGCTTTCGCGCGTTGAGGCGCCCGTAGTGTCTCCTCCAGATCTTCAGCGTCGGTTAATCGCAGCAGGGCCATCTGATCCGCCAGATCTCGATCATCCAACGTCTCGATAAAATGCTCGACGTGCTCGCGACGGGTAACTAGAGGCCCACCTTTGACCTGCAGCTTAGCTCGCAAGCCCGCCACGTTGAGTCTGTGCAAATATTCCAAGGGCGACTCGTCCGAGCGTTTCTTTGCGTGGTAGTACTTCCGCGCGACGGATACTCCTCGTCCGCATTATTGCGTCTGGAACGCCTCAAACTAGCTCTTCCAGTTGCTCCTCGTTGATCGACCAACTGCCGGTACCAGTTGCGAGCTGGACCCGTGAGGAGATCACCCAGCACCAATCATTGTTCGCTGTCTGGAGCTGATTGCGAACGAACGCGGACTTCACTTTGCCCAGCCAACTCCTTGCGCGGTCCTCTTCGTGATTTTTGCGGGGGTATTCCGTCGGCTCCGAGAACGCCGACACTCGTATACATGGCGTCGTCGTCGAGGGTACAGAGGTCGTTCCTGCGGATGCGATCCCTGCTTGTCGAGGTGTGTCGATGCTAAGGTTGTCTGGATCATACTCTGTGTGTGAGTCGTGGAGGGACTTCACTGATTCCACCTCCACGTCTTGGTTGTTTGTCGTGTGCCGGCTGGCCGTTAGGCCAACTCTTCGGTTTGTTTTTTTAGTTATCAGTTCAAGGCTGCATTAAAGAAGGTCTGCTTCTGTTCTGGACTCCTTGACGTCACTGTCGGTACGGCCATGGGTGTTGGTTCATGTGGGGATCGATCAGGCTTATTGTTAGTCTGCCGATCCCGTAATATCTCTTCTCCGGACGGACCGAGCGTCATCCGCTGCAGATCAGCGGAACTGTCCGATTCTGCTTCCGACGTGGCTGACGCGTACTGCGACGACCCTGTCTGGTATTATGAGTTACGGGTCGGTGTCAGCTTGGCCGTCTCCGGTTGTATGACTGACCCGACCAGCGGTTCCAGCTTTTCGTTCAGTATTCTTGATGAGCGTTGGATCACCGACGTCTCGAGATCGAAAAGATCACTCGCATTGAACGCCCCTGGTGTCATGCCTGCATCTTTCAGCATTCGCAAGAGTTGAGTCGCCGCCTCTAACTGTCGGGGTATCTCCGCAGGTTCCAGCGTCGGACCTTGGACTTCTCAGATCAACGTCGGGCTTAGGATCTTCATCACTGGTTTGTCTAGCAAGAACGAGAATAGGTCTTTCTTGTAGATGGTTTGCGCCAGATCTTCGTTGGTCCACTGTTGCTCCCCGCGGTCCTCCGTATCAGCGTCAGGCGCCTTCAGTTGTTTTCGAGCTGACTTCGGCTTCTTTCTCTTCACAGGGTCGCGCGAGGTCGGCGGGGTGCTTGTGGATGGGGTTCCTTTGGTTTGCGCCGTCCGAGCTTCATCCAGGTGATCACCGTCCGCGGGGATTCCGAGAGAGCATGGGGAGGAGGGCGAGGCTTCTCTTCCAGGTCCATGTCCGGACCTTTCTCCTTGGCATCGTCAGAGTGCTCCTCCCAGCGTTCTGACTTTGCGTGTATCCTGCTTCACTCCAGTAGCGTCTGCGGCGATACACCTTCCGCTGACACCTCAATCCCAGGTCCCAACATGATCTTTGTGGCATCTTCGTCGGACTCACGGTGAAATCCCTGTGGGTCATATGAAGTTCCGGACATGCGCACCATTGTGACGGAGTGTTTTAGCAGAAATTGCTGACTGTCTTGGTCCAGCTCGCTACAGTGCCTCGGACGACCGGCTAACAGAGGGGGTACGCCGAATATCCGTTGACGCTGAGGTTCTTCTCACCTTGCGTACCCGTCGGTGGGGCGGGATTGCACTCTTCCGGTGACTTGAGGATGCCTTGGGGTTGGTCGTGGGAACTGTATGGACGGTACTTGGGATTGTTGACTGCCGTGCGGATACTTCTTCACGCGGCTGTCTAGTATGGGGGTGTAGATCAGATGACCAATCTACGTGTCCTTGCGTGTGTCCTTGTTCCTTTCCGTTGCTTGTCGCTTCCGATAGCGGGATGTTTGGGGGGGGGTTGGTCGAGCCTAGTCAAGTGGCTTGGGGTCGACGGGTTGTCCTACTGCAGAGCGGGGTGACGTCCTTGGTCGTCAGGTGGGCCAATATACGTTTCCAGTTTAGTAGAGGTTGCGACGTGGCTAAAGCAGAGGGGTCCAATGTGTAAGGTCCAGAGAATATTTAGAAGTCTGCCTATCACTTCCTAGCCTATCTCCACAACCCCTGTTTCCAAACTGTGCCTACATTTGTCGTAAACATGGTACCCCTGTACCCATGTCGGCCTTGTGACCCGTTGTGATTGGAGGAAAATTCTCAGCCACTCATTCCGACTAGGTTGGCCTGGGACAGTGGGGTGTGACTATTGCTATTTGTCGATGACCTATTGGATGAAAATACGATGAATGTATTCCCGGTATCTAGAAGATGGGTCCACAAAAAGAGATGGATTGGTGAAAAAGAAGATGATATGGATACACTAACGTGTAAGTGGAATGAAGGTAAGGCTGGACTATCGCTATGCCTACAAGTTGCGGCCGGCGTCGAGAAGTGACTTTCGAATGTCGAGGTATCGTAATCAATGGATGTGTGGATCTGATTCTGAGGGTTCGAAACTCTGACTATAGTTCAGACTATATGTTAATGACCGACCAGTCCGACCGACCAGATACACTATGCACCTGAAGATCCGAAACTGTTGGATGATTGCGAACGTCGACCTATACTGAAACCAAGTTTTTTGTATGTGTTACGACTATCAGAAAAGCTTGGCAGAGAGACTTATAGTTTAACAGAGAATTCGTTTTGCCACCTAAAGCACAAGCACCTTCAGGCCGTCTTTGTTTGTGAG